ATTTTTTTTTGTATGAATTATCCTTACACAATTTTTTTAAATATATGAGGGAATAAATAGACATTATGAATCAAAATTAATTCATGTCCATTTCTTTAATTTGTAATTAACTTCCTATTCAAGTTCCAATTCAACTCACAGCCAACTCAAGAATAGAACAGAATTCTTCAATTCTGACTTTTGCCCGACACTGACACCATCATGTTGGTTCTACTGTTGGCAGGTTCTCTTATCTCAAAAGCAACTGAGGTCACATTTCAGAACAAAAAGCACATACCTTTCATTTCTCTCCTTCATGTACCCATGCTTATCTTTTAGATTCCCCTCATTTTTTTCAACTGAAATCTCTGACTCATCTCTCTCTCCAAGTCCCTCTTCTTCATCCCAGGCCAACTTCCTCTGCACAGGGAGGGTGGGGTCTTCATGAAGACGAGCATCCCCAGGAGAGCTTCTCCTGCTGGCTGCCACAGAAGCAGAAGGCCCAGGGCTAGAGCTTCCCCTGACACTGCCAGCCCTATAGAGACATGCCAAAGTCACCAGGTCATTATTAAAAGAAAGACCTTTCTGGATTTGCAAACTAAATTGGATGAATTTTGATGGTCGAGCTCTGCTCACCTGGCCAGGTCCAGAGCCTCGATGATAGGGGTGCTACTACTGCTTCTGCAGGCCTCAGATTCAATGGAGGATGAGGAAGAGGTGCCACTGGAAGGCTCCCACATCCAGTTGTGGTCCGACAGGATCTGATTCAGGTGCTGCCGAGAAAAATGAGTTCCCCAGGCCCTTTTCCTGTAGGCATCAGCTTTCTCACGTAACTCCTGCACCTGAGGAAAAACAGTAGAACTTTAGAGATGTGAATAATAAATAAGAGCCTGGGAAAAATAGGACTAGACTGCAGATAATATGTTAGGCAAGGAGATTAATAATTCATTGGAAGCACAGGCAAAAAACACTTTTCAGGGCTCAACAATAAGGAATAAGGATGTCCCATTGACCCATTTAAATTTTGGGCCAGTTGATGGAATGGGTTAAAAATCATATTTTACTTACAATAAAAAACTATATATATATACACACACACACACATATATTTTCACTTCCTTTGTAAAGAAACATATACAATACAAAACTATGTTTTTAAAGATTATTTAATATAATTTTTGTGGTGATAAAATTTATTGTTGAGCCCTGATATTGTCCTTATACATGCTTAATATAAATTTGTTATTGAATCAGCATAAATTAACATCATGCAACATTGCCACATCCGCTTCGAAACCCATATAGAGTATGAATAAATGTGAAGGCAGTCATGCTCCGCTCCTAAAGAGCTGACTCAGAAAGACACTCTTGTCCCATATGGCGAGTCTTGCATGAAAGTTTTGCAGGAGACGCATCGAAGCACACTTGACACCATAACCTAAAATGAAGTACTTCTGTCTTACAAAAGTGACTTTGTTCTTACAGGGTCAGCATGTAACAAAAACTGCTTTGAAGTCTCTATAAAGTTTACATTCTAGCCAACAAATTTTAAGCGCTTACACATTAAAATTAAGAGTTGAGCACTGAATTTACTGTCATGACAGACGCTGACCATGTTAAAACAAAGAAATCAGATCATATTATTTACTAAGCAGCAAAAGAACCACGTGAAAGTTGCAGTTACAGTGTGACACTTATACAAATTGGGGGGAAAAAAGTGATGAGAGCTAACTAATAGCTTAAATAACACCTAATTAATCACTTATGTAATACTACACATATTAATGGGACATCTTATTAAAAAACTTTTTGTCCCCCTCAGTGTCACTTGTATTTTAGCTTGTATTATTCTGTATTATTGGCTCCTCTGATAGATAATATATTTGTCACTGATAAAATGAATGAATGAATAAACAAATAAATAACCTCAGTTACACTTTAGTACAGGGACCAACTGTCACTATTAACTAGTTGCTTATTAGCATGCCTATTATTAACATATTGTCTGTTTATTAGTACTTATAAAGCACATATTCTGCATAACCATATTCTACATCCCTAATCCTAAACAGTACCTAAACTTAACAACTACCTTACTAACTATTAATAAGCAGCAAATTAGGAGTTTATTGAGGTAAAATTTGCATTTAATGGTTTGTTAATAGCGAGAATTGGACCTTATAATAAAGTGTGACCATAACCTCTGCTAACTAAATAAATGTAAAATTAGTGGGGTGTTTTTTACTTTTATTTCTAAGTTATACCTAAACATTTATCTATGATTTTATATAATCAGTGGGTGAGCCAAAAGTCAATACAGGATTACCAGACAACTGAAAGCAAAAAAAATCAACCAACAAAACCACAGACAACTTCAAAGTTCCATATATGCTGACAGATAACATCTTGCTGACTGATCCACCACATGCACACACACACACACACACACACAGACAGTTCTTCAAGAATAGGTCCACTGGGATACCACCATATAGTCTAACTTTGAATGAGGTCATACAGTACATTTTGTGAGAACAGACACACACATAAGCAAATGAGGGTCTCTCTTGAGACAGCAGCGGCAGTGAGAGGATGGATGCAACAGGCGGAACAGTTACCTCATGACACCACTCGTGAAAACCTTCACACTCCTGTAAGATTAATAATACAGACCAGTAATTAGAGAAACTGCCCTTCTGTTTCCTAACAGCTCTTCCACTTTAACCCATCACAGCTCAAGCTTTCATGCAATGTGGTGTCAAAATTGCTCCTGAATTAAGACTTCATTATATCTGGTCTTTGATTAATTGCTGTCTTTTAAGTCACCCCTTGTGTACATTAAATGAATGTTATTTAACTTAAGGTCTAGAAATACATAAACAATATTACGTGGGAAGATCAAAATCGTTTTAAATAATAGAGGCAGTTAAATTTATTCATGAATATTAATTATATTATTGGATTAATAGATATTCATTAAATTCATTATTTTATTTTTTATTTACTTATATTAACATTTAGCATTTTAAACTCTTTTCTGTGGCCTTTTCCCATAGATTTTTTTCGGTTTCCAGAAGCTCACCTCCTCATTTGCAGTTTTGATCTTCACCCATGCTCCATCTCTGTAACTATACTGGAGGGGAGAACGAAAGTTGGATCTGTACTCAGTTTTCCCTTTCCTGTCAGGCAGACAAAGAGGGACACACTGGTAAATACTTTTGTGGAATTTGTGAAAATATCTAAACGTAACCTGTTGTATATCATATGGACATTAAAATATATATGTGGTGCTTATGTGCTGCTGATGCAAAATGTGTGAAACAGGCCTTGTGAGTTTTGTTTCTGTATTTTTTTCCTAGTCCTGTACAAAAAAATAAAAAATACAACAGTCACCTCATAACCTTGGGCGAAGGGTCTCTCAGAGCGCAGGGTGACCTCACTTCCTGTTGCTGTCGATGGGTGACTTCCTCTTCGGGGTCTGACTTTCTGCTCTGTTGTTGCTCCTTCTTTTTCTTCTTCTTCTTGTTCCCCTTACTCTGGCATGGCGGGCATTTAGGCAAAAGCACATAACAAACCACGTCAAAGGTGCAAAAATGTTCTTAATGTATACTTCCTTACTATACAATGGGGACTATGCATATAGAATGTGTGAAAAATTACGAGGAACTAACACATTAGTGAAACTGGTTTATCCAGCTCCATAGTAATGCAGTGATATTTGGAAAGTCTGTGTACATTGACGTATGTGACAAAGCTGAATGTAGATATTTCTGTGTACCTTCTCTGGGGTTGTGTTATCTACATCAAGCTGCGGGACCTCGTGTTGTTCAACATCTTGCCTCAGGCGTGGTGGTCTGGGAGGAGGTGATCCTTTGAAACTTCTCTTGTACTCACTCTCCATAATTACTGGGTTTGATTTGAAGGGTGGGATGGCTCTGTTGGTACTGTACAACATCTAAAACAGACATGAAATAATCCAAAACAAAAAAGGTGTAATGACCCTGATGACTATGGCATTCTGATAACAAGATGCTACTCAGAAAGAAAGTGTTCTTGCTCTCTATATGTAATTATTGTTAGTTTAATAAAAAGTATTTTAAATAAACAGTTCAATATATATACAGTATCTCACAAAAGTGAGTACACCCCTCACTTTTCAGCAACCATTTTAGTATATCTTCTCAAGGGACAATACTATATATTTTAGAGTAGTCAATTTGCTGCTTGTATAGCAGTACAGATTTACTGTCCTCTGAAAATAACTCAAGATACAGCCATTATTGTCAAAATAGCTGTCAACAAAAGTGAGTACACCCTAAGTGATAACAGCTGTATGTCGTTTAACCATGCAAAGCCACATGTCCTATTCATCATGTTCATGTTTTTGTCTACTTGACAGGACCATACAAATTTGTGTATCTTTTATTAGAGCAGTTAAAATTTAGTGCTTTGAGTACAATTCTCTCATACTGACCACTGGATGTTCAACATGGCACCTCATGGCAAAGAACTCTCTGAGGATTTGAGAATTAGAATTGTTGCTCTCCACAAAGATGGCCTAGGCTATAAGAAGATCTGTAACACCCTTAAACTGAGTTGCAGTACAGTGGCCAGGGTCACACAAAGGTTTTCTAAGATGAGTTCCACTCGGAACAGGCCTCGCAAGGGTTGATCAAAGAAGCTGAGTCCTCTTGCTGTGCGTCAGGTACAGAAGCTGGCTTCAAAAAACAGACGCATGAGTGCTGCCAGCATTGCTTTAGAGGTTGCAGAAGCGGGAGGTCAGCTTGTCAGTGCTCAAACCATACGCCGCACACTGCAACAAGTCGGTTTGCATGGCCGTCGTCCCAGAAGGAAGCCTCTTCTAAAGCTGGCTCACAAGAAAGCCCGCAAACAGTTTGCTGAAGACAACCTGTCCAAGAGCATGAATTACTGGAACCATGTCCTGTGGTCTGATGAGACTAAGATAAACTTGTTTGGCTCAGATGGTGTCCAGCATGTGTGGCGACGCCCTGGTGAGGAGTACCAAGGAAATTGTGTCTTGCCTACAGTCAAGCATGGTGGTGGTAGCATCATGGTCTGGGGCTGCATGAGTGCTGCTGGTACTGGGGAGCTGCGGTTCATTGAGGGAAACATGGATTCCAGCATGTACTGTGACATTCTGAAGCAGAACATGATGCCCTCCCTTCAGAAACTGGGCCGAACGGCAGTTTTCCAACACGATAACGACCCCAAACATATCGCCAAGATGACAACTGCCTTGCTGAGAAAGCTGAAGGTGAAGGTGATGGAGTGGCCAGATATGTCTCTAGACCTGAACCCTTTTGAGCACCTGTGGGGCATCCTCAAGCGGAAGGTGGAGAAGCACCAGTAAATCTGTCCTGCTATACAAGCTGCACATTGGCTAGTCTAAAGTATATCCAATTTTCATTTCTATAGTATTGTCCCTTTAGAACATATAATAAAATGGTTGCTGAAATGTGAGGGGTGTACTCACTTTTGTGAGATACTGTACATTGGGTACGGAAAGTATTCAGACCCCCTTAAATTTTTCACTCTTTAATCCTAATAAGCCATTTGCTAAAATCATTTAAGTTAATTTTTTTTCCCTGTCAATATGGGGTGCTGTGTGTACATTAATGAGGGAAAAAAATTAACTTAAATGATTTTAGCAAATGGCTGCAATATAACAAAGAGTGAAAAATTTAAGGGGGTCTGAATACTTTCCGTACCCACTGTATATATATATATATATATATATATATTCTGAAGTAAGCATGCAAAACTCTGTACTGCCATCTACTGGATAAGCGTTTTTTTAATGGTATGAAAGAAAATGCACTCAAAAATATGCAGTAATTAATTTCTCTATATATAAGAAACACATCAGTTGACCAAAAGTATGTCAGATAATCTGGCCATGAAATACAGGGACTTGATGCAAACCAATGTGTGATGTTCAAAATAATTTTGAATTAGGACAATGCTCATAAAAACGCACCTCATGTGCAGCTAGCAGGGGTGAATCGGCCGCAGGCGTTTTCCACATGAACTGTCTCTGGTACTCAGAGCTCAAACGGCCATTCCTCTGTTGCTCCGATCTCAGTCCCGCTCGTTTCCTTAGCACATGGTTAATCTAATAGAAAACATAAGCTTTGAATAATTGTAACTGCAGTCATGATGGTATTAACACCTAATAGTACAATTCTAAATGTTATACACAAATTACAGTGTTAAAAATTTATTTGAAAAATATGAAAATGTTTATAATAAAGGAGGGGGGGGACTGTGTTCTCGTCCACACATTTTGGTCAGAGATTCTGTTTATTAAAAGGAATACATGTGAACAGAACCACAAATGGGCCTCTTTTAATGTGTTGCCGTTTTGCGTTATTGTTATTTAAAGTTTTCTAACACACTCACTTATAACCAGACTCACTCCATTTAGTCTTTGTTGCTGCTGGTCTGCAGCAGTGGTGGATGTCTGAGCTGCTTCCTCCTCTGTCTGTAGTTGTTGGGATAGTGCAGCGGTGCCCTCTGGTGGCACGGGGTCTCTTGGGGCAAGAGGAGTCACTACTCTTTCTGCACTACAGGCTCTGAGCACAGGTGTGACAGCTGGAGGTGTGACAGGCCTGCTCTTCTCCTGACCCCGTAGAGCTGGATCATGCCCTTCCCATCGGAAAGAACTGGATATCTGAGGTGGATAAAATGGCACTTTCCTTTTGGATATAAATTGGGGTTCCAGGGTAATTCCTTTAAATGCAAGAAAAAGATCAATCAATTCAATTAATTCATAAACTAATTTATTGTGAGGTAATTATTTACATTTTTAAAAGACATCTGTCGACACATCTATCTATCTATCTATCTAGAGCTATTGTCTGGCAATATCTATCAATTGTCTGACAGTATCTATCTATCTATCTAGTACATACTTGACTGATCAGAGCGCAGTCCTGCCAGTCGCATCCTGCGATGTGGAGAATCGCTTCTGGATCGTGTTGTTCGACCTTTGTATT